TCAACCAGGGCGCTTATATTATATAAGCGCCCTGCTATCAACTGCCCAGAAGTCGGCATGGTGTTTAGCCTCCTCCGCAGGCATCTCACTGAGGAATCGGGTGGTGAGAAAAAGTGCTAAAACCCATAGAGAGGCCTGCGGAGGAGGCTACATGGTGTTTCTGGTACACACGCAAAAATCTCACAACTTGTCAACAAGATGTGTTCGCAACAGTCTTGTAGCAAGATTATCAACAGGTTGTAACAATGCTGTTATTTTATCAAGTTGCTATTGGGCTAGTATTCCAAAGGTCGTAGGTTCGATTTCCACCGTGGCCAGGCATATTTTTCAAGCCTGCCCGGTGTGGATATACACTCAGAGTAACATCACAACCAAGTTGCTACAAGGTTGTCACTCACAACTTGTTGACAAATTGTTGAATTGCAGGACGATAACAAGTTGTTGGAACAACTTGTAACAAGTCCGTTGAGCTCAACAACCTTGTAGCAAGTTGTCAACAAGCCGTTGACAACTTGTCAACAAGCATTGCTACAAGTCTGCTGCAGGTTTGGTACAACTTGTGCGTTTTTACGTGTATACTCCAAATGTTCCAAATTTCCTGGGGAAACCCGGGCTACACACGTAAAAACGCATAAGTTGTTACATATCTGCAAACAAGTTGTTACAAATATGTTCACAAGCTGTAGACAAGTTGTCTTCGCACTGCTTGTTCCCAGTTGTTGTAACAAGTTGGAACCAGCTGTTAACAACTTGTAACAAGCTTGCTAGCAATATCAGACTTGTTACAAGGTTGTTCTAACAAGTCTGATGCAGTCATGATATAACAAGAATGTTACAAGGTTGACGACACAAGGTTATAAAAATATTGTTATATCATGACTGTATCGGACTTGTTAGAACAACCTTGCAACAAGTCTGATAAAAGTATCAACAAGGTTGTTACAACTGTTTTTAAAACAAGTTGTTCCACTATACTTGCTGACAAATAGGCAATTCCAGCTTTTAGTTTATGCCTGCAGGGGTGATGGGAAGTAAGGTATCATAATGCTGATTATGCTGAACAATTTCAATAAAAACTACCGAAACAACCGAAATATTTCATATTTACAAGTATAAGCTATCACTCCGTGTTTACACGGCCACCGTTGCTATTTTTTTCAGCATAATCAGCAATATGATACCTTACTTCCCATCGTCCCCTGCACGCATAAACTAAAAGCTGGAATTGCCTATTGGGACAAGCCCTTACCAATTTAATTATTTTATATTGAACACATCAATTGTGCCTTGGAAATAAACTATTCTTGAAACGTTCTGTTCTGCACTTGTACAATGACAAATTATTAGAGTATTCCTAATAAAAGGTTGCTGAGCGCAATCTCTTGTCTGGGTCATATGTTCCGCATGAGGGCCCTCCTAAGGTGAAGCCTCCACCCCCTAAGGCGAAGCTTCATATTGTCAAGAGTCGTATTGTTAATTTGTTGTACCTAATATCCGTTACGAAAAACTTCCCATGAATTTTATGTGATTAAATTATCTGTGCTTTGTTTCTTGTGTTTGTTCAAAAATAGAGTCATTATAACAAAAAAAATAGTAATTTTGACGCAGTACATCACCGCAGATTATTTGTAATCTGAGTGTATTTATAATAAATTGAACAAGATAGTTATGAAACATGAAAACTGTATGGCCTACACTGATTGTATGGAAGCCACGCCCAATGCCATCAAGTAGGTAATGGCTAGCTCGTTTTTCAAAAAGTAGCCTCAACCAGACTCAACTGCCCCAGAAGTCATGTCGACTGTTTCCCCAATGTTACAAATTTCCCTAACCAGTCCATACTTTCTGAGATCGTGATTTACAGTCATATAGTTAAAATTACAGTACAATGCTTAGACAAAACGCACAAGTCGTTACAGGTCTGCAATTTACAAGTTGTTACAAATCTGTTCACAAGCAGTCGACAAGTTGTGTTCGCACTGCTTGTTCCCAGTTGTTGTGAACAATTGCAAGTTTGTAACAAGCTGTTAAAAACTTATAACAAGCTTGATGGCATTATCATACCTGTTACAAGGTTCAAGGTTGTTCCAACAACTCTGACACGGTAATAATATGAACAAGAATGGTGCAATCTGTAGTCTGCCGGGTAATATATGTTCCGCAAGAAAGCCCCTTAAAGAGGTCTTCATATATTGTTAAAGGATAGTATTGTTAATTTGTTGTACCTAATATCCGTTGCGAAAAACTTCCCATAACGTTTATGTAATCAAACTAAACTATCTGTGTTCGGTTCCAAAATTATAACAAAAGGGTTTATATTTGGTCTTAAAATGTTAGGACCATCAATGTTAAAATTGACGCAGTAAATCCACCGGATTAGTTGTGATCTGTGTGTTAATTGTTGTTGAACAAGACAGTTATGAAACATGAAAAAGCTATGTGGACTACATAGATTGCCAGTGGCGTAACGTTATATCAGGGGGCCCCCGGTTCAAAATTTTCGAAGGCCCCCCTAGTAGAAGTGCCAAAGGCACAAGTCGAGCGCCATATATGCACGAGTTCTCTAGGGGGTCCAGGGCATGCTCATCCGGAAAATTTTTGAATCTAGACTCTCTGAATTATATAAATGCCATTTCCTGTACTTTGGGGAGAGATTTTACAGAATTCTGATGGTCATAAAACGACATTGTAACATATCAGAGGCCCTGGTCAATGTTTTTGCTCTATTGCCTAAGCCTGGGGGCCCACATTTGGGTTGGGGCCCCCGGGTTCTCCCGGTCTGAGCCCATAGTAGTTACGCCAGTGTAGATTGCACGCCCAATGCCATCAAACATAGGTAATCAATGGCTAGCTCGTTTTTCAAGACAGTTCAAAATTTACATGAGTAAACTCATAGTTCGCTACGGTTTAGGCCAGGGGCTAAACTAAACATGATCCCGCTTTGGCTGGACGAGATGCCAGTCAAATATGTCAGATGAATCAGTGTCGAGATCACACTAGATGAATTTGATAATAGACGCGGTCTGAATTTGCCTTCTTTAAATGTTCCTCAAAAGTTCGTACTTTTGAACATTGAACAACACTTCACAATTTCAAATGACATATGAGGAAGTGTGATACGATTCCTATATAAAAATTCTCCCAAAACGTATATATGTGGGAAAAATTAAAAATGTTTTCTCAAACATCTTGCCAAGCCAAATGGGATCCAACTATAGGCCTGGATTTCATAGTTTTTGAAGTGTAAAATTTAAGGCTGTCTCTTGCCGCGTCCGGTACCAGTTAAAGGGATTACTTTTAATAAACAATAATTCTGCCCAGACTGCTCTCTCTCTCTAGCGATCGAGTAAAGATTGTCTTCTATTGTAGTTGCAGGCTACGTTGGAGCTATTTAAGAGCGTCTGCGAAGGATGCTACTTTCATCGCGGGTTCTGTTGTAAGGATTACGGGCAGTCCCCACTGAGATCAGTGCCCATCCCTTTATTCTGCATCCCACTGTTAAACTACAGGGCCGGATAATGATTTTTTAAGCTTTGTTAAATTGGCCGTTGACTGACTGGTATATAACCTAGATTAAACTTTAGTGTATATGAAAAGTAAAGTTTCCTTCTACTAATTGTGGGATCCATAGTTGTTCAAAAATCAATATCCCGCCTTCGTAAAACCGGCGACCCCAGCCGACTTGCACTTGCTAATTACTGCATTTATCTGGGTGAACAGTTTAGACTGACTGGAAGAGCTATCCTATAGGTCCAGTAAAGCATACTACCGACTTATAAAATAAAGAATTGCTTACCTCAAAATCAGCTGCTATCGAGTCGGTGTGGTTTGTCAAAGACTGAAGACATCGAGGTAAAAATCAACAAACGCTTTATTGACACAAGGTTATATTTAAAAATTGAATATCTGAATGATTCGTCGCACCAGTAATCAACAGCCACGTATTATTTTCAAATTTAAAGCAAACAAACTATATAATCAACGTAAGTATAGTTTCGACTGAACAGTTATAAAAAATTATTTTGACTGGCAGCCAATAAACTGCGGATTGCAAATTGCTGAAAAACTCTCTGTATAATTCCATTTGTCAAAATTAATCTTTGTTCAACTTTTCGGTTTAGGTTTCGAATTGGAGTTCGTATAAATAGGATTAGGGTTTAGGATTCAGTTTTGATTTTGAGTTAGGTTGTTTTAGCTTGAACAGAGTCGAAGCTACTACCGCCCACAGACTTATATTTATACGCATTTGATTGGTTCATCGGATAGAATAAATGCATCTGATTGGTCAATGCTAGCGGTCCGCATTCCTTGCATTTTAGACACTTTTAATGAATGATAATCTGAAAGCCACACATTTGGTATGTTTTATGTCATACGGATGAAAACAGTATTATTTAAAGTGCATATGACAAGAAATTTCTTATTTTCTTAAATGAAAGAACTCTTTAAAGCTGTAGTGGAACTTATTTTTCAGTTTCTTGTTTTTATGGTTTGTTCCGAAGATATTTCGGTTTGTTTGGTAAGTGAATGAGTGTGAATATGTCCGCTAATTTAGGACGTCACATGGTTATAAATCTATTAATTCTAAAAACTGTAGATATCAGTTCACGTTTTTCTCCAGTGTTCCATCACATTTACCAGTGAGTGAAGTTTGAAACTATCATCTTGGATGCTAGCAGTGATATTCAACCATTTTGAAAAGCGTGCAACCAATGCGACGTCATAAATTAGCGGACATATTCACACTCATTTACATATCAAAGAAATAGAAATATTTCGTGAACAAACCATAAAACAAGAAACTGAAAAATAAGTTACACTACAGCTTAATTAGAGTTCTTTCATTCAAGAAAATATGAAATTTCATGTCATATGCACTTTAAGAGGCTACGCCTCTCATCCCCCGCTTCCTCCCCACACCTCTGGTTTTAATCAACTTTACAATACCAAAATGTGTAAATATGCCAAATCGATAAAGACAAACATTTTATTCCAAATTGGGTTTATAAAACCTTTATTATATATTCTATATATAATTACAATACATATTGCTTTTATTAATAGAAAGCGTTAAAATAATTTGCTCAACTTTGCCAGTATAGCAATTAAAGCGTTCGTTTCCAAATTTCATTGTGTCAATTAAACAGGCTAACACGTAAAACGTGCAGAATATTGGCTCGTGCGTGTTAAAAAGTCTTCTAAAAACTCCAGAATGAATACTATGTACAGTCTATTATAAAGAGCGGGTTAAACGTCGCTTGAATGTTATATATAATATGATAAATTAGACGAATATATCTAAAAATGTTTGTATATCTTGCATGCATCTAAAAACGTACAATCACAGAAAAAGACATTGTTTATATTCAGCACATTTGAAACTCAATGTTCAACCAATCAGCTAGTTCAACGTGATTGGCTGGTTAGATCATAATGTAAAATGCTCTTTCCAAACATGAGAGTTTCAAACATGGTGGTATGACAATATTTTTTTGAGCGACTGTTCTATTCACCCTTAGATGTAATCTATGATACATTATATGATACACCCGTCTCGTTTCTTGATGTTTCTTTATAAGAGTCGTCATACGGTAGACACATGCAGTAGTCGGGTATGCATATTGTCCCAACGTTCGTGTGTTTGGCATGGTGAAAAAAAACAGTCCTCAGTGTTTACTTAACACGTCATAAAGCTATAGTTTAGGGGCGGACCATTAGAAATCCCGGGAGGGGGGGTATAAAATTTTTGCGGCACGAATTTTTTTTTCAGTCTCATGTGTCTGCAGGAATGCACTTAACATCTGCACGAATTTTTTTTCAAGACTACTTGTACTTTGCTCATGGCGACCCCCCCCCCGTCGCCAAAAAAAATTTCGGTCAGTGTACCATTTTAGGGGTCAAAAATTTTTTCCAGACATACCACATACCAAAAGTTACCACAAAATTGACAGAATTTGTCAAATTTTTTTTTTTTAATAAACTAAAATTGCCCGACTGTTCAGCGAATATTACCCGACTGCCAACTGCACGGTACGCCCATGACTTTGCTGTTTGCTTGCACGAATTTTTTTTTCTCTGACGTAATGGCTGCACGAATTTTTTTTCCAGGCATTTTTCTTTGCACGAATTTTTTTTTGGGAATTTTCACCCCCCCTCCCGGGATTTCTAATGGTCCGCCCCTTACACTATCAAAGTTTCTGTGATCACAGTAGGAATTTTGCATAGGTAAATTCTATGTTTTGAAAACTTCCCTAAAAATGTCGGCGTGTCGCATGCAACCTGCTTATAAGTCGAGTTGTACTGTGTAAATCAAGCACACAACTGACCCACGACAACGTAGACGAGTTGTGTGCTTGATTTACACAGTACAACTCGAGTTATAAGCAGGTTGCATGCGACAGTTTTAGGCAAAAGTTGTGTAGTGTGAGTCAAAATCTTCAAAACTTAAAATTTACCTATGCACACTTCCTACTGTGATCACAGAAACTTTGATACTAAACCAGGGGCTGGTTGTATAAAAAAGTGATTAAAGTTAACTATGGTTAAGTGCAAACGTCATCCAATAAGAAGCGCCTATTTGAGAGTTAATCACTATTTAACTACAAAATAGTGATTAAGAGTTTTATACAACCGGCCCCTGGCTTTAAACATAGCTCCCACCAAAAGCACACGAATGTTGGGGTAGCGTGGTTTGCACCCCCAACTCTGTCCAACCGCGGTGTTTCATGTTAGAACAGTTCGTGTGCACCTTACAAATGCGTGTCCATCATGGCCCCTGGTTCAGCACACGCTTTCTGCCTTCGTTCTATCGCCTCCAAAATCTTCCTTCGAGGTCCTAACGGTATCCCCGCGGACTTTAAATCATTGTCAGTACATAAGGCTAACGCTTTCATATCAATGCTCTCGCGTTTCATCGTCACTGTAAACTGTTCTAAATTAAGTGAAGCCAAAAAAGTCATGAGCGGTGCTAATTTTGGATCGTTCGTTTGAAGTTCGTCGTCGTTGTCCGTGTCGACGTCGGAATCCATCGACCTGCTTGAGCTCCAGCTATACCTCGAACTTGGTGCGGTCGACGTACGACTATTATAACTGGACAGACTTCCGAATTTCTGCATGTTTTCGATGGAGGTGAAGCTGTTCCCTCGTCCGTCCGAAGAGCGGACCAGGTACTGGTCTTTTGGACGTCCCACAAAATTGCCGTTCCCAGACCGGACGGCCCGTGGTTGGAGGATGATATTCGCGCTGTCCAGACTAGTCAGGCTGCGGGACTTGCCACCGTTCATCGAGGACGCGCTTGCAGACCTGGTCCGCGGTCCAAGGAAGGTCTTGCGCAAGGACCCTTGGACGCTGTTGGGTCGATTGTTCTGGGCGGAGCGGGCAGAACTTTTCCCACCTTTCATTCCGGTGATTTGCGTAAAATGCTCCAAACTTTGCGCGCGCCTCATACTCTCAAAACCACTGCTGTTTGCGGCGCTACTGCTGTTGCTATTCCGACGATTCTTCTCCGCAGTCCATTGCTCGTTCGGGACATTCTCCTTGCTATCATTAACAATGACGCCATTTTGTTTCCTCACTCGCTTGGCGTATTCCTTGTCGCGCTTTTTCTGGTGTCGCTCGACTTTTTTCATCCGTTTTCTGGCAATTTTTTCCGCGTCTTTTTTCTGCTTGTTCGCACGTGCCCGATGGTGCAGCATCTGCTCCGCCACAACGCGGTCCAGGTATTGCACGCAGTCCAGTTGTCCGCGCGCGGCTGCCTCTTCCAGGGGAGTGTGGTACTGGTTATCCAGAGACCAGATGTTCGAGCCAAATTTTGTGAGGAAAACTAAGCAGTGGAATTGACCGCACGCCGCTGCAAGATGGACACTGGTTGATCCATCGTAGCATGGTTTGTCTGGATCACCACTAGTAAGAAATAAAATGTCATGTTATTAGGGGGTCTAAGAAGGGGGGAGGTTAGGGGTGACACCTCCCACCTTTCATAAATTTGGTTGATAGCACAAGAATGCAAAGTTGTCTCCAGCGGGGCTTATTTATTTTAGCCCATTTCATGGACTTAGTGGAGAGGGGACTTAGTGGAGAGGGGACTTAGTGGAGAGGGGACTTAGTTGAGAGGGGACTTAGTGGAAAGGGGACTTAGTGGAGAGGGGGACTTAGTGGAGAGGGGGACTTAGTGGAGAGGGGGACTTAGTGGAGAGGGGGACTTAGTGGGGAGGGGAGCTAAGTGGAGAGGGGGCTTACTAATTTAGCCAAAACATGGAAATAGAAGAAATGAAAGAATGCAGTAAACTAACAGGAAGTTAGGAACATCCAGGGCACCAGGCAAATTGATAAATCTAAGGAATGCTTGAAAGAGTTTTTTAAAGGTGATCTACAGTCCGTATGTAAACAAAGCCTTTGTTTACATTTTTGTGTCCAAAATATTGAGCTTTATTCGACAACTAATTATATTTTCAAGCTTCTAGAGTATAATAATTGATCAAGAAACAACAATCAGGCTTTTCAAGAACTCAAAACATAGTTAAACTGTTTTTATCATAAAAAGTGGGCTCATTTGTGCACATGCTCAGATCGGACTGTAGATCACCTTTAATAAACTTTTATATTGCTTCATATTTATAGATTTTTACTAGTTTTTACTAATTGCCATATATTATGGGATAGAGGTTTGTACACAAGTATAAGGATAGCATCATATTTATAGATTTTTACTAGTTTTTACTAATTGCCATATATTATGGGATAGAGGTTTTTACAGAAGTAAGGATAGCAGTTTCTGCATCATATTTTTGTAAATATTTTGTAATATTTTTTGCAAGTGACAGAGGCTTTGATATTCAGAAATAATAATAATCTAATGACTAGACATGTGTTTCTCAGCTGGTGGGTTGGAATTAAGCTTAATAGAGAGTCGTGCAGGTTAATGAATCCCTCCCCCCCTAAAGACGGGTCATATTAAAGATGGGGAGCTCATTAAAGAATTTACATTGAAGGGGCATCCAGAGTGATGCTGTCACCTGGCACAGGTGCTTGTAGATTTTCAGCCGGGGGTGTACTGTTGTGTGTCTGAAGTAAAATAATTTCTCCACACCTGACAATTTCATTTCAAAAATACATTTGGAATTTTATATCAAGAAGCAAATTATATGGCACAGAGACGGATTTTCATATTTTCGTTCGGGGGTGGATAAATATCTGGGGGGAGTGCTGCTGCTTGCTTTGGCCGGGGCCTGGTGGCAGCACCCGGAAAGGCCAAGGAAAAAGTTTAACAAAATTTGTTTTCTAGGCCGGCATGGCAAGATCTGAGACCATAATATTGGTAATTTTACAAATTTAGTAGTAAGAATAATCAAATATGAAACAATCAAATCAAAATATATATAATTTGTGGGGGTGCAAAAACTTTTGGGGGCGGTGCCAAATGCCTCTGGGGGTGTGTGCAAATCATTTCTGGGGGGAGGTGCGCACCCCCCAGAAAATCTGTGCCTGATATGGCATTTGAATATATATGATGGGAAACATTTCCTGCTGAATGTAAGAAAATTTCTTGCTATTAAAAATTCTCTGGCAGTGTTGCTGCTGGTGCTGTCGAATTTTTTTTCAGCACTGGAATTGTGTGGCATTATACAGAGTAAAGTAAGTATGACATACTAGGGTGCATTGCAGCTTAATGGGTTAATATTTAACCGGGATAGGTTAGTACCAATAAGATGTCGAAACTCTATGCTTTCTGTGTCATTTTTTATGACATTTGCAGTAGTTAAGGAAGAAGGCATTACCCCTAGAAAAATTAACCCCCCCCCCCACCGAGGCTAGATCTGCCTGAGCAATAGAAACTATACTAAAGAATTGCAAAACTTGTGCACTAAACTATATTTATCTCATCAACGCAATAATTCACTAATCTATGTAAATATGGCAACACCATTGATCTCATAGGCAACACTACTCATTCATGCAATTTTATGCTGGCAAACTATGTCTAGTTTTACTTTATTTATGAACAATGCGTTCACGTAATTGCTTGGGATCTACGTCAGTAATACAATATATCTGCGGCTTGTAGGGGAAAAGATAAAAATTACGTGATATAAAAATTTTAAAAATGTATACATACACGTTCTGTTTGCTAAGAGATTAGCAACTAGTATTGTTTAAGACCTTCCTTATGACAAAAATGATAAACTATTCACTCAGATAGGCTTATAACAGAATATTCTGATTTCTGGCTTGCGCAATAATACAGCTAGTTTCGTGGCATCAAGACAAAAGCACTCTAAAAACGCTTCAAAATATTTTGAAAATATTATAAAGTTGCTATTAGCAATGCAAAACTTTGTTATTAATCTATTCCTGGCTGCAGGTATCGAAAAACCACAAACTAATCCCACAAAATCGCGTCAGAATTTTTAAAACTATTACAGTAGACGAAAAAATGTTGCTAATAATTCAGTATATTCGTTCGTGTTATTTATAATTGCAACTATTCAGTTCTTTTAATTATCCGTTCACACTTCAAAATAATGCTTAAATTTGTACGATCCGCTGTGTGAACACTGAACAAGTACAGTAGACTTCAGTTGCCCACCAGAGTATAAGCCGCAGAAAATACATATATAGAAAATACAATCTTTTAAACAAAAAAAAGCTTTTGACAAAGCTATCTATCAAGTCTAACGATACTTTAATTACAGACGGCAAGCTGAAGAATAATCTATAAAAACGCAATGAAGCGAATAAAAATATTCCACTAAAATCGTGGGATCTACAGGGGTAAATCGTGGGATCTACAGGGGAAAAACCTCTCAAACCGTTTCCGAAAGCGTTTTAGAACCACTAAAAAATGTCCTCAAGCACTCAAATGGCTTCCCAAATTCCCCCGAAATCTATTCGTCCAATTTAAAAACTTTTAAAAAACTTTTATGTAAAATTTATTCGCAGCCGCCGTCGGACTAAGTTAGCGAGTTATTTACACACTTCGAAATTTACATAGCAATTTTCCTCTTGTAATTTGTATGGAAATAAGCAGAAACATATATGTTTTAAAACCTAGAAATAAAAGCTAGAAATGTTGCTATCTTACCCTTTCGCACAAAGTAT